CGCAGTGGGGAGTGAAGTAGAACTGCCCTGCATGCACAAATCACCGCTGAAATTCAGTCTCTTTGACAAAATTACACAGGGCCACATCCTCATTTTGCTGGTCCTGACCTCGATTTGCACAGGTGGAACAGGAACCACAGGATCCCAAGGCCACCGCAGACCTGGCTATGGGCTGAGCCCAACTGCTCTGCTGCAGCACAGAACGATCACCGACCAAATCTCTGAACAAATGCAGCTTCTCTGCAGCTCAGGGAAAAACAAAAGGACCCGAGTTGGAATGCACACAACCGAGAGGAAAACGACCAATGAAAACCTGTTGTCAACCTGCTCCAGCCTCCATCCTCGCTTCTTCTCCCCCAGGGAAAAGCCAGCATTTGTAAGGGAGAAAAAAAAAAAAAAAAAAGCACAGCACCAAACCGAGACGGAGAAGCAGACATAGCCACCTGGGATGCAGTTCATCGGCAGGAGCTCTACCCTCTCTGCTGCGGCCCACGAGCGGCAGGGACGGGGGTGAGGACGGTCCCAGCCGGCGTTTGCTGGAGGTTACTCCCCAGCCTCCCGCATTGTGCAAAACGGGGAGGCTCCCGCTGCGCTCCCCAGCTGCCTGGGCGGTGCTGCCATCTCCTCCTGCGCCCGGGGCCGCCGCACCCGTCCTGACGCACGCATGCACACAGGTGGGGCTGCGGCCGCCCTCACATGGGGCTCACGACCCCAGCGCCTGCTTGGTGTTGGGCTTGGGGAGCTGAGCAGCAGAGCCCGTTCTGGCCCACCTGGTTGGCTTTGCCTGGCAGCTCCTTCATCTCCAACCCGTGTGCCCCCCAGGGAAATGCATCAGGCCATGGTAGGGCCAGCACCATTTCATCCACTGCAACGGCACTGAGCCCTGCCAGGAGCCCCAGAAAGGCTCCTTTCTGCTTTCCTCACCCTAACCAAGAGAGGGAGAAAATCTGAGTGGCCCCCCAGTGCTGGAGGAAGGGACTGGGCTGGCCTCTGCAGCTGCCGGGATGATCTGGTAGGGCTCCCCACAACATCAGAGATCTGGCTTCCCAGTGCTAAGGAAAATCAGGCAAATGGAGCAGTCCATCTCCCTTTTCAGGCAGCAGAGAAGATGCTGGAAGGAATTTCCAATGAAACCTATGCAGAAATCCCCAGACTTTTATTATGGCTCAAGTCCTGTTTGAAAGCCTAGGCTCAAACCACACTGCTACATGGGCACAAAGCACCAGGAGCCCACTTTTGTCTGTGCACAGACCTCCACAGCATGGAGCCCAAGCTTCCCTCTCTTCCTCCCTCCCTTCCAGAGATCTGCAGCCCAGTAGCCAGCACGAGGGGATGATTTCCTGCTGTGCACTGTTTTCCCCAAGGCCACACTTTGGAAGGTGCCATGGAACAAGTGGAGCTGACATCGCTCAAGCTTCAGCTTTGTCTCCAGACGGCTCTTCTGTTTAGTGCCAAGAGAAATGAAAAACAATGCAAGCCATGCAGTCTCAGGGTCAGCCATTGCAAAACTGTTAATCTTGGGGCTGCATCACTCAGACTCTGTCATTTATATTTGCCACTGTATTTGCCAGAAGCACAGCAGACCAGTCTTTTCCTTTTAGTTGAATTTCTTTTACTACCTCAAGATCCTTGAAATATGGGTGCACAAACCAACAACCATTTCTCTCTGCTGATGCAGATAGAGAAGAGACAGAGGGAGCAAAGTTTCACATCCACAGTCCAAGGACTGTTCCTCGGATTTGCAGCAGCAGAAGTGATGGAGAAATCAGTGCTTTTCAGATGGGCTCAGCCAAGAGTCCCGCTGTTACAGTCAAACAGCACTTCTCATCTCTGTCTTCTTACAAACTATCTTCAATCTAAAAACGGTTTTTGCAGCAAATTTTATTCTAACTTCTTCACAACCTCCTTCCTAACAAAAACTTCATACCACTACCTTAAAAATTAAGTCATGCTCTCTGGGCATCCCATAAAAAATTTCCTCTCCCTTACTCTTTCAATGAAGGCTTTTTCAACAATAAAAAGGAAATCAGAGAGAAAAAAATAAAAAAGAAAAAACTTATAAAAGATAAAATGGGAAAAGGGTAGGAAAAAGTCTAAGTTCTTCCTTCTTGTTATGATTAAAAAAAGAAATTCAAGAAAAAAAAATCAGTGTAGCAAAGGGAGTCTCAAACATAAAACAAAACTACAAAATAATCCAGAGAATACAATTGATTATTTCCATGGCTATGAAGCCGCAGAGTCTTTATTTGTGTAGGAAGGAAGGAAAATATTTGAAGAAAGAAATGGATAGAAATAAGATATACAAAAGGTGTCTAAAGGAAAGGAAAACTGCCCTTTTCCTTCTTTTGGACCCAGTATGGTCTCTCCTTGGAGGGCAAGGGTCTGTAGTCTCTACACTTTTCTTGTTCTTACGGGTAAAAGGCTTGATTGCCCCAGCAGGAAGACACCTTGCCTAGTAATTCGCAGCAATATAACCACGCAAAACAACAGCAGTGAGAGCAAAGGGGGCTATCAACAAAAATCACAGCCAAAATGTAACAGGTCACCAAAGCAGTGGCCATCTGCAGAGCTCCATCATGTCCCAGTGGGGATGAAAACACACTGGCGTCATGTTTGGGTTTTGCCACCACCGAACTCCTACATACAGACCATGTCTGCACAGGCTGCTACGGCTCCACTGCACTACACATGACCTGTCAGCCAGTCCCACGCGTACCTTCTCCTTTAGCAAAGTGATCTGGTCCTTAATTCTCCAAGCTCAGATCATGCCGTTATTTCAAGAGATCATCACAGCATCACTGACAAGCAGGAGTGCTGATACCCAGTAGCCACTGTGTCAGTGTCAGCTTTCTACAACAGACCTGATGGGAGGAAGCCATCAAAGCCTGCAAGCTGCACAGGCAAGCCGAAGGCACTCAGCACCTGGCAAGCAGAGTCACTACAGCTTGGCTGAATCAAGCCAGTAATAAGCAAGCATGATCATAACATCTTCATAAAAGTAGGATTTAAGTGCAAACATCTGCCTTGCTGTTTTTTAATTAAGACAGTTTACATCTATTCCTTTCAGAGATCCACAGCTCTGGCAGCAGAAATGCCATGCATATTCTAATTAAGGTAGCTAGTTTATTTAACAGTTTGACATTGTTTTATATTAGCTGAGTCACCTTGTTGCTGGATAAAGTAGCAAATGCTTTTCAGCAGTTCAACAAGAAAAAGATAGAGATTCTGTATCAAAAGTAGAACGTGCATCACAGATATTTTAAATTGAATACAGCTGAAGTCTATTCTACTCCAGCAGCTCCTCTCTTTGGGACACTAAGTCAACCCAAATGTTTCCCAGATATAACTCTTCCTCTCAAGGACACACATCTCTCTCATGTTCTTGGAGGGTGGGAAGGGTGGGAAGTGTTATAACAGACATATGGGATGTATCTCATTCTCCACAAAAATCACCCACCCATATATCAGGACATACATCACTAAGAACTGCACGCAGACTGAGCATCTGTGCCCTGGATTCAGCCAACATTTTTCTAGGACAAAGTAAAAGAAATTGGCCAGTGACAGTCAGTGCAGAACAAAAAACTGTTACCCACAGACATTTTCCTACAGCACTTCACCTAAAGTCATTTGCACATCTATATGGTGCTTTTCATGGACCTCAAACTGATTTGCAGCAGGAAAGGCAGGCAAGCAGTTCCCATTCTCATTGTATAGGGATTTCACAAAGTGGTTCATCTATGAGTTTGTTGATGGCTCAACTGGAAACAGAGACTGATCTTGGACTACTCTCATTCCACATTAGAAATAAAGGGCAACACCACCTCCCCCTGGCTGCATAGGGTCTGGATGAAGTACAGAGAGCTGTAGAGAGCAAATCCTGATTCCTGGGGCCATCTTTTAGAAGGTCCATGTAGGCTGCCAGGCTGCCATGCTGCCCTACTGTGGCTTTGATGCTTGCATCACGTATTTGCACTGCTGGCTTACAGTTCCCTGCTAGATCTGGAGCTGTGCTCACCACACACCAGCAGCAGATTCTCTGCCTGAAACAGTGTCACAGACCACAGCATGCTCCCAGGGAGGACTAAGTTCTCCCATTGCAACTTCTTTTTTGGGGGAAGAGCTGGGATCTCCTTTTTATAGTTAAAGACAGAACAAATTTTAACAGGCTGAAATTACTCTATTTATCCTAACACACAGTGCAGTGAGCCAGACTTTAAGCCAACAGCTAGAATCGTGCAATCAAACAATAGAGAGCTGGCCTGAGTCTGAATTTCCAAGAGCACGCTGCGGTCTGGCTCATCTCCACCATGCCAGCGCTGCCATCACTGCTGGAAGCGTGTGTGCTTACCCTGAGGAGAGGGCATCTATCTGTCTCTGAAAACTGTGAAGGAGATAGTGGCTCAGGCCAAAGAGATATTTATTTATTTTTGGCCAGTACTACAGTAATCCCCTTTGCATTTAGTCTTCTCACAGTCGTCTTTTTTTTTTTTTAATATCTCAGTAGCAACTCTAACTATTCATCCTTTATTATACACTAACAGTATATGCAGAGCTGTGACACACAGAAATGAAGACAACGGTGTCTTTAGTTTCCAGTGGCCTCTCTGTTTCAGGCTGTGAAGTTGCAGTCTGTGGGCACAGTCCCACAGAAGCCACCAAAACCCTTTGTGCAAGAGGGCATGAGGCAGCCTGAACCTGAACAGCAGGTATATAAGACCCCTCTGGGAGCCCTAAAGACCATGCCAATTATGTAAGAGGAAGAGGAGACCTGATATCACAGGGCAGCATTACAAGTTCCCAGGGAAAAGGTATTTGTAGAACCAGTCACAGAAAGTACTAAAAACCATGGCTAAGGAATAGCAAGTCCCAAATCATGGCTTAGGTTGGGAGAGACCTTAAAGATCATCGAGCTCCAACTCCTTACCATGGGCTGGGTTACCAACCACTGGATCAGGCACTCTCATTCAACTTGCTTAGGGCCTTTGCCATAAAATTACCTGGTAGAAAAGGGATGATTCTTTGCTTGGGGTCTTTCTGGCCTCCTTCAATGGGAAACTTGTCCAGAAGCTGCATCTGCAAAGGAAACAGAACAAACGTCTTAGGAGGAAGGTACAGACTGGCTGCTTAGGGACGAAGGATTTCTTGGTCTGTGTGTGGTTTGAAAGGATTAGCAAAGCAAAGCAACTGCAGGAATCCCTTAGCCTAGTTGCAGGGGAGTATGTACATAAAAAGGTACAATACAGCTCTCTCCGAGAAAGGGAGGGCAAATTTCTGGCAGCGCACAGGAGCTGGGATGGGGCCCAGGCAGACATCTGAGCCTGGCCTTGCCGTGCTTCTAAAATTAGGCTCTCATCCTTCATTACAAACACAAGCCTCATCTCTAATCCCCGGTCTGCCCAGGTTGGTGGAGACAGTTTTTTACCTGTCCCCATACAGACCACCCGCCTGGCTAAAAATGCTGCTCAGGCAACAAGGATTAAAGGCTTTTTAATAAAACAACCTATCTATCTTCTTGCTGGTAAGGCACTGTCCACTGCCCTGGTCCATTCACAGTGTTCCAGCTTTCCCACGGAGAAACAGATTGGTGTCAAGCACCCTTGAAGACATGGTTACGGACCACCCAAGCCAGCATTTCACCCAGCTCAGTCTGGCCCTGCCAACTTTCAAATACTGCCCACCACAACCACTTGCTTCTAACACACCCCTAAGAGTCTACTGAGCACAGCCCTGTTGGAGGTAACCAGACTCTAGTTTGAGAAGCTCAAAGAAACACTGATGGCCACGGCCACCTTACATGGTGGAGAGACCACCCCACCTGTGCCTAGGCAAGCAGTATGCTGACCCCATGTTCCTAAATGACCTCATGATCTCTGTTTGGGGACACTTCATTCAGCATTTAACTGAAGCATCGCTGCGTGTCCAGCAGTGAGGGTGTGTGTGTTGAACAACCCTTTTGCTCAACAGATTTCCTTTAAAAAATATTTTTTTGCTAACACAGGAAAAAAAAAAAACAACAGATTTTGTTTTAAGCACACAGAACCCTTCTTCTCTTCCACCACACACAACATCTCCACCATTTTCACCATATGGTGCAGCAAACCAGAGATCAAGAGGAAACATGGGAGTAGAAGAAACATCTGTGCGGGAGAAAAAGTTAAAAGATCCCACATGTTTCCCCATCAGGGAATCAGCCTGGTAAATAAATAGACCGTAGCTTTGCGGATTGTTAGCTCACTCACTTTTCTGCCTACGGAGACATGATTTTTATTGAAAATGGGAAATTTTGTTTTCTTGTAGATGGAGCTCCGGGTGTCTGAGGTCACGAGTTCTGTTCAAAGAGAAGAAAAGGGAGGGGGGAAATCCCCCTTGAAGCTTCACCACTCCTGCACTTTTAGCCAGGAAGGCGATTCTCACTTTACTACACAGAGACTGATTCAAGCTGGAACCGATACAGTCAAATTCCCATGGTTGTTCCTGAAGTTAGATTAGCTTGGCTCATACAAGCCTTGTTAACCACATCAAGAGAGTCACAACATGTATAACTTAGTGCTATTTATCTAAAGGGTGGATATCAGTAAAATAGATGCAATAAACTACAGCTGGTAGAGTCTAGATAAACCTTCCAAGAGTTTCTTGCCCCAGCTCTTGATTCCACTGGGAAGGTGCAGATGGCAGAGCTGGGAGTGCCAGAGGTGCTCAGGAGGTCACCAGTGCAAATCACAGGGACATGACGTGTCCCAAAGGTAAAGTCCTCTGAAAATGGTAGATTTCTTATCTTCTTTCATATGCGAGACAGTGTCCCAGTGGGCAACACACACTTTTGTGTGAAACCAAAGACAAGGAGTGAAGCTGCATGGTTGAGCACCCTTGGAGGAGAGTGGCAGTCCCTTTCCAAGTTTCTGACCCCAGACAACACGTGCTGTTGGCTCGTTGCTCCTGGACCGGTCAGCTGGGTCAGGCATTTGCAACACCCCATCAAGAGCGATAGGCTTGTGCTGGACATCTGGGCTGGAGGATCAGGATTAAACTATCTGGCACGACACAGGGAACTTAACTGAAATCCTTCAAAGGATCTGAGCAAGGACATCACAACACAAGTCCAGCAATTATGTACCTGCCTCTATCCCTAGCTGTTCTCATTAATGCCTACAAATGATTCCAAACACGTCTACGTCTGTATAAACAAGTAATAGTGACAAGGAAAAACTGCAACACAGACTGGAGGGTAATGGCTTCCCAACAGTTTCTGAAATGCAGGAAACCCTTCGGGACACCAAATCCCAACAAAAAGCTGAAGAAGCATGGGGTCTTCAGCACTTCCCTGTACACAATTCTGCTATTCACGACCAACACAAGATCTAAAATTCTGGAATAATTTTCTGCCCTTTCACCCTTGGCGAGGATGTAAAGCAGAAGAAAACAAAGAGGTGGGCTTAGGGGAAAAAAAATCAGCAACAGGCCTGAATGAAACAGCCCAAATCATAGAATCATTTGAGTGGAAAGGGACCCTTAAAGGTCATCTAGTCCAACTCCCCTGCAATTTACATGACTGAGCCACAGAAACTGCTCCTGATAGCCACAGCACTTACCCCATCTGGATGACTAACAGCCAAAGACCAACAAACAGATTGAAAATCCACTTAGTTCGATGCCTGCAGAGCATCTGAAAGTTGAAAACTCTTTGTGACAAATGGTTTTCCATGAAAGGAAATCATTATTATTATTATTGCAAATATAAATATGATTAATTAAAAAAACCCCATAGCCTTCACTTAATCATAGAATCGTTTGAGTTGGAAGAGACCCTTAAAGGCCATCTGGTCCGGCTCCCTTGCAGTGAAAAGGGCACCTGCAGCTCCATCAGGTGCTCCGAGCCCCATCCAGCCTGACTTTGGGTGTCTCCAGGGATGGGCATTCTCCACCATTCTGGGTAGTCTGTGCCAGTGCTTCACCTTTACTGGAAAACGCTTCTTCCTTATATATAATCTAAAGCTCCTTCGCTTAATGTCCCAGGTTATTCTGCTCAACACAAGCAATCTCCACAGAGCGTCACTTGCATGTTTGATACACAACATTTAACTTAAGATACAGGATTCACTGTGTGAGAAAGTCACTTGTCCCTGAGACTAAAACCAACCCATGGTGAAGGGAAAAAGGGCACGGAGGATGTGGAGGCTTCCCAAAAGATGCAGTTAGGGCTGTAGCTGGCTTCAGGCAGACAAAAAAACAAGTGGGCAATGTATTTTCAGCAAACTTGTGTGAGCTTATACTGAGTTTGCTTACAAGTATTAGTACACAAACGCTACCATGAGGGAGCCTCCAATTGTATGACCAACGTGATGAGCAGAAGGAAATCTGTTAGCACATCCCAGTGTCACAGGGTGGGGGATCCGTTTGGAAACAGGGAGGGTATATGGAAAGCGGGAAATGAGCTTCCCACCCATTCAGGCAGCGTGTCTGGAGTCAGGCTGAACAAACACACCCCATTCCTGCTTCTAGCACAACAGATGCGTGTCCACAAAGAATTCATCACCAAAACCATATCCCCAGGCTTTCTGTCCCCAAATTACTCTGGGTTTGCCAACTGCTTTCCTAAGTTAGTTCTCTACTAAGTCTTGCCTTGTGCTCTGAGCAGCTCTGTTCTTGCTTCTGCTCTAGACTTTTAGTAGATCATCCATAAAGCTTATGGTCCAGACTATTATTTTCTTACAGTAAACGATAATGCAATTAATGATATTAAAAATCAAGGGAATCACTTGTGTGAGTTGCTGCTCACTGTAATGAGAGCACCGTCCTACCCCACTCCTTACTACTTGCACAGAACTGTGATATCGTTTGACTTGCAAGAATGGAAGAGGAAAAGGATTTCAGTGATTTCATCTTGCATAAGAACTGGCCTTTTTGTGTAAGTCCCAGCTTCTGGAAGTCAGCAATTGTTTGAGAATCATTGTTCATTGTAAAAAAAAAAAAAAAAAAGCAACCAAAACCAACTAGGTTTTACACTGCCAAGTATAAATTTGCAAACGTCAGCCCAATTCATCCTTAAAGGCCCAGAAACCAAAGACAGCAAACATTCTCCATGCTTTTGGTATAAACATATACTGCGCTGGAACCTGCCTCACACATTTTATTTGTATGGAAAATAAGAGAGATGCAGCCAGTGTCCCAACTCGCAGCTAAGCTTCAGAAGCTTCTGCCTCAGATCACCTCTGCCAAAGAAGGTGAATATGCTGCGAAGAAAGAGATGCTTCTGCCAACAAGAATTTTATTTGGCCCAGAAGTCATCAGCTGATAGCATCTGTGATCACCTCCCATCACTTCTCCTGTGAAAATTAGGTTCAGCTCCCTGTCTGCCTCATGACGGTAACACCTGATTAGAAATCTAACAAAAAAAAAAACCCAAACACCCTTTGAGATGCTAAAAGTAAGATCTCTGAGGATGAGAAGCCAAGCAACTTCCTGACAATTATTTACTTATTGCCTTTTATTTACCTTGATTAAACTTTCACAAAACAACATTTCCTTCCGTTTTAGATACGAGGACTAAAAGCACCTGAGTCTAAGGGGTGATGTACTCTTCTACAAGATATCTGATTTTCACTCTTGTCATAGTTTTATGCTTTTTGCTTTTCAGTATTCCACATCATTATATCATGTAGTGCACTGTAAGCCAGCCAGGACATGAAAATACCAACTGTTTAATGGCCTGATCCTGTAACATTTGCCAGTGGGACCTTTGTTCCTGATTTGATTATGAGGTTTTGGAAGTGTGTGACTAAATCCATCTCCCTGAAGCTAATCCATTAGGACAGTTACCTGATCTCCCTTCATGCCATACACTATGGACTCAAGCTGGAGTTTCCTGCTGGGCTGTTAATTCCTTCCCTTCCTTTCCTGCAGCAGTTTTAACTCTCCTTCAGTTAAAAGAGTGAAGTTCTCCACACCTCTTAACATGAGCAAATTGGGACACCCACATAATCTCTTATCAGAATGCATATCTTGCTGATTCCTTTCAAGTGGATGTAGGATTGCCTTGTGCACAGATAAAATCAAAGTCCTCCAGGGGGTCAGTG